TCTCCAAGAAGACTAGTTTTTAAAGAAGGGAAGCAGCAAAAATGGTCTCTTGTGCTCTATATGGGGAAAATCCTTATTTTTCCATTTTTTGTCTACAGAGTGAACTCACAACTAGTGTAGTTATCTTTTCCATCTGGTTCTCATCACATTGCTCTGCTGGGGCTGCTGGTCATGGAGGACCAACAAGTTTTGGAGCTAGGAAGTCCAAGATCAAGTTTTCAACAGAGTCTGTGTCTAATGAGGGCTCTACTTCCTGGTTCAGGATGGCCATCTTCTTGCTGCATTCTCACATGGTAGAAAGCCAGCCATAACTTTTTAAAAATCAACCAATAGCTACAGTGGTTTGGTGAAGCATGCCCTGAACATGTTAGAGGCAAATATTTTGCTAATAATTAAATGAGAAAGAAGTTAAAATTCTATGAGACAACTTTATCCATCTGTGAAATGGGTTAGGTTGTGATCCTATAAAATCTTTAAGAAATCATAAAATATCTAGAAATAATAAGAAAATTGGTAAGGTAGCTAGACCTAACATATGTATACATAAGAAAAGTAGATTGCATATAATCTAGGAACAAAAATTAGAAAAGGAGATAAAAGGTTCTGTGTATAATAGTAAGAAAGCAATAAGTTACTTACAAATAAATTTTAATAAAATTAAGTCAGGTCAATAGGGAGAAAACTGTATGACCTTAATTAAAGCCATTAAGTAAACACTGACAGAATTATATACCAAAGTTTTAGATGAGCAGATACCATAAAAATAATTTCCTGAATTAACATGTAAATTCAATTTAATTTTTAATTAAAATTCTAAGGTATTTTCCTGTTCTCACTTTTAATAAAATAATCCTAATGTCTATGCAGAAGAATAAGTGCCCAAGGGGAAAAAAAAAACATGTGTGTATTTACCCCGGCCGGCGGGAATTCAACAAGGGCTCGAGGGGAAGTTAACCTGGATGAGAGACAAACCAGACACAAAGAAGGAGACCAAGTCCATAGTCTGATCAAGGTCTCTAAATTTATTCTTACAAGGTAGATTATATAGGAGCTGGGAGGGGGAAACAGCCCCAGCTGAAGTGGCAAGGGTTATCTAGGTTGCTAGGATACCTAACTGAAGAATGTTCTCTGGAAAAGATCATGGGTGGGGGATTACTGAGAAAAGACAGAATGTTTTACTAAGGAGGAGATGTTATCACGGCAGCTGCTTAATCTCTATCCCAGCGGCCTAATCGCAAACTGGGTCAATTGATCTTTGTAAACGGGGCAGGCTTGAGAATTAGAGACCTAGGCAAAAAGGACGAGACCATTGTTTCTATGGCATACGGCTCCGACATGTATTAGTTGGGATTGCCCTCAATCATATTTAGTAGAAAATATTTAGGAACTTAAGCAAATTATTTTTTAATGTAACAATAAGTCCATAAAAGCAACGTTTATGAGAACATAGGTAGGATTTAAAACAATTATTAATTGATTGAGTGATATAGTTGCTAATACAGTTCTAGACCCACAATCCTTCTAGACCCCTGCTCTACCATATTTTTCATGAAGCATTTGCCCTTAAAGTTACAAAATGGCTGCTATATTTATACTTGCATGTCCATGTTTCAGGAAAGAAGAAAGAAGAGGAAAAAGAAAGAAAAAAACTTAACAGGAGCAAAACTTTCCCAAAATTTCACAGGGAATTCCCAGTTCAGTTTCATTGGTGACAGCTGTGATATGTGTTAACCTAGAAATTGCTGGTACAAATAATCTCAGGGTTCTGAGAATAATGAACAGGAAAGAGAGATTTAGGTAGATTTCTGGCAACATCTGAACTCATATGCAAAATTAGAATCCTGAAGAGGTTCTTTGCTTTCTCAGGTATTAGCTTAATAATAACTGATTTTGGAATGGGCAATGAATATTTTGGAAGAGATTCTGAAACCTAGAAATATTTCTGAATATATATAAAGAATGTAATACTTTCTGAATAAATATATAACATTTATATATTACAAATGTAAGAAAATAGTAATTTACCCTCCATTTTCCCAAGGTCCCAAGCACATAAACCGGTGAGAATTATGCTTGGGCTTGCCTGGGGCTTGACGCTGCTCTCTCTCTCTCTCTCTCTCTCTCTCTCCCCATCCCCCTCTGGGGGCAGCCACTTTCTCCAGATAATAAAGTCTCTTGCGTGGGCCCGTGTCTCCTGAGTCGTTCTGGGTAAGGAAGGTTGCGGCGAGATACCCTTTCAATACATATTCTTCATATAGAATGTAATGTATATAAAGAATATGTGTTTGTAATATATAAATGTTATATATTTATTTATATAATACATACATAGTACTATCAATATGCCCTGCCCCAGTTTTTGGATTATATTCTCTGTCATTAGAGATTTTTCTCAATATATTTATTCAGCATTTATTCGTTCAACAAATACTTATTATTTATTATAGCCAGCCATTATTCTAAACAGTGAAAAAAAAAAGATATCCCTGCCTTTATTGAGCTTACATTTTAATTGAGACAGTCACTAAATAAGGTAGATACATCAGATGTGTAATAAGTTAGATACTGTAAGTCTAAGGATAAAATTAAGCAATAAAGAGGGATAAAAAGAATTGGGTCTGAATGTGAATATGTGTGGAAATTGTATCTAGGTGACCAGGAAAGAATTCGCTGAGAATTAAAGAAGTAGAAGTTTATTTTGTGTTGGGAAAATGCGGATTTCTGACCATGATTCCCCACTGGCCTTAACAGCACCCTTTGTGTAAGAGTCTGTTTGCGCATCAAGGAGATGTTTACTGGGGACAGAGCAGCTGGTCAGTCACTGGGAGTACCAGCTGAGGCGAGGCGAGGGGAGGAGAGAAACCACCCATTCTCTGCTCCCCTCAGTTCCTGGCGTATAATTGGCCAGGTGCCCATTAGCCACCAGAGACCTGCCCGCGGAGTTCCTCCTGGTGCGGGGGCAGGGGAAGTGGAGGGCCCCAGGGGTGCCGTGAAAGCTGTGGAGTCTGAGCACAGGAGCACAGCGCCTGGAGAATGAGAAGGGCATCCTGCCAGGAGAACGAGGAGAGGACAGAGGCTGGGTTGACAAGAGAACTGAGACCCACTGCAGTGAGAACAAGACCCCTTTTAAGCCCCATCTCATTGCCCTTGCCTTTATGTGATTTAATCAGATTCATAAGGAACTTGCCCTGGGCAGGGAAATGCCTCCTCCCAGGGCAACATTTTGGTAAACAATACATTTTAAAGGAAGATGTAATTGTTATTTTCATTCAGATAGTGAATAAACACATCAAAAATTTTATCTTACTTAGTATTTAATGCAGAAGCCAGACAAGCACAAAATGTCCCCCACACATACAGTCTGTTAAGAAGGGCTGAAGTGGATCAGTAAGCAGATGAAAACTAGCAAGACATATGCAGGCCTCAGGCCAGTCGATTCTTAGGGCACAGTTTGCATTCATATGGACAGGCATTTCCGGGCATTGCTACGTGTTCTGTGAGTTAATTTCTGTATCCATAGCATTGTAAAATATCCTAGTCAAAGACAATGAAAGGCAGATAGCCTGAATCGAAGAACTAGTAAAGACACTCACTAAATTGCAAAGAATTTCATTATTTTTCACCACAATTTTATACTGGTATCAATGATCCAGCAGAGAGAAGAAAATTGCTGATGCCTAGAAAGACACGAGAGTCCATGAAGTGATGTTAAGTGAAGTTCTTGAGAAGACAAGATGAGAAGTTTTATTTTTCAACAACAGAAGTCTGGAGCTGGAGGATAGAGCTCTTTTAAACAGAGGCAAACTCCATGGCGTTGCTGGTCTTCTTACCAAACGCTACCACTTGAGCGCATTGTTTCCTTGGTCCTTGTCTATGTCTTCTTGAAGGAAGGAATTCAGTCAAGACACAGAACAATCTTGAGCAGCAGGAGTTTATTAAGCAAACCAAAAGTACACTCTTGAGAAGAGGGAAGAGCAGCTGTCTGGAAACCAGAAGCAGCCCTGCTGTTGGGGCTTAGGGTCAGGGTTAGGGTTAGAGTTGGTTTTTTAAATGGTGGGAAGTCCCTCCCTACATCTTACATCATTTAATCGACATGTTGATTGACAGCTCTAGGTTATATAACCCTCTTTCTATTGTGCAGGCGCTTACCCTTAAGTACCTAAGTGAAACCCACTGGGTTGCGGAGGAGCAAAACCACAATGTAAATTTATTGTAATTATGGTAGAATGATAATGAACCCTGAGGTAGCTTCAGTCACCTTCTAGGTCTTAGTGTGCCTGCAGTCAACCTGTGTTGGTGGTCCGGAAGCCCCACTGGGCTTTTTACACCCTGTTTGGCCCTGATAAGGCAGGAGACTGAACCACAAACAGGAGGGGTTTGGGTGTGTTCTGTCATCTGGTTACAAGGGAGTAGGTGGACGGGGGAGGACCTCATCCAGGACAGGGTGGGACCTGCTCCTGTCTGCCTAGCTACCTGACACAAGCCCCTGCTTATTGTACACCAGAGGGTGATCTTTCACCTTCCTGCTCTAATGTTGTTCTCTGACATGTACACTGTGCAACCCTTACTCAGCAGTCTTGGGATAACTATCAAGAATTAGACAAAGAACAACTAGGAAGGTATGTTAGGGTATTTAAAAAGAATTTCTAGAACATGATATTTTCAGTTTTGTTTGGTGGGTATTTTAAACTGAGTCACAACACTATGTTATTTTTCTCTTTACATCTCCATCTGTTTCAGGAAACCTCAATGATACTAACCAATTTTTACTGAATATGTCTTTTATAGCATCCTGAAAACAAATTCATATGCAAATATTTCATATCAGTAGAATTTCTATTGAACTTTGAGTTCCTCCCCAGTCCTAATTAGCTAGTTAGCTAGTCCTAATCACTAGGTATGAGATACAGCATTATGCATTTTTAAAGTTTTGGGACAGAAAAGTCATATATTCCACAAGCTCTATAGTGAAAATCAGTGATGTCTTTCTGTTTATTTCCTTACTTTGGTACACGGCACCACAGTGTCTTCATGGCGTTCTTCATCTCCATGTTCCTGAGTGTGTAAATCAGAGGGTTGAGCATGGGAGCAATGATGGTGTAGAAAAGAGCAAACACTGTCTTCTGGGAGAGTAATGGCTGTTCTAATATAAAGAGTAAAGGAGCATAAAAATGGACCAGCACAGTGATGTGGGAACTGCACGTAGAAAGAGCTTTGAGGCGATTCTCTGCAGAGTAGGACCTGACTGTATGCAGGATCACAGCATGGGATACCAGCAAGACCACAAAAGTCACCAGACCCATCACATCCGAACTGGCAATGACTAGGAGACCGATTCTCCTTGTGTCCATGCAGGCTAGTTTCAGCAAAGGATACTGTCGGTCGAGGGAGAGGAAATCCCGGGGCAAAATACTTCTAAAAACCGAAATCAGTCAAAGGGAGAAATAAAGTTTAAAACCCGTTTATTCCTCACAAACTGCAGTCCCAGTCCATCTTTCTTCTCTGTTCCAGCAGCAACCACACCGGCCCTCCCCCTCACCTCTCAGGTACAGATAAATCCTCGGTTGCCCAGGTACTCACCCATTGATATGGAGATAAACTTCTCCACCCCTGAGGAAAGATGCAAATGTACTAAAGCCATACTTTTTTCCACCTCTGAACGCCTATTGATATGCAGATATACTAAGGCCAGGCGAGATATTCTGGAAATGTTACAATTTTATCCACAGATACACATAGCAGAAGTAGTGGTCTATCTCATTGGGGCCACAGTAGGGTAAAAAGATGGCGAGAATAAACTGACCAAAGGAATGGAGGAATCCCCCAGCACAGGAAGTGGGGATCAGGACGTCACACCTCTGCCTGCTCATGATGACTGTGTAGTGCAGGGGCTTGCAGATGGCCACGTAGCGGTCATAGGCCATCCCTGTGAGGATGAAGACCTCTATGCCCCCAAAGAAGTGCATGGTAAAGAGCTGTGTCATGCAGCCATTGTAGGGAATGGTCTTCTTTTCTGCCAGCAAGTCAATGATTAATTTTGGGGTCACAGTAGAAGTGTAGCAAAGGTCTGAGAGTGAGAGGTAAGTCAGGAAGAAATACATAGGCTGGTTAATAAGTTGACTGCAGGTGATTGAAATCATGACAAGCAGGTTTCCAATGAAAATCGCTATGTAACAAAATAGAAGAGTAAAAAACAGAATTTCTATCTCCTTTTTCTGAGAAAGTCCTAAAAGAATAAATTCTGTGATGTTATTCTTATTTCCCATGATCCAGAGCAGTTTGTAGCTACCTGAAATTAGAAACATTGTGAATTTTTGTTATATATATATTTAAATATGGTGATGCTTATCATTCCTTGGTATGAGGCAGATTATAGTGAAAAGGGTTCAAATGTTATATAAAGTAGAAATTTAATTTTTATTTAGGAAGGCTTTCCTGCTTGTCTTTTTATCATTTTCTTGAAAACATTACTGGTAAACATCTTAGGTACCTGAGATGAAGACTAACATTGTAAAATACAGTATATTTATGTAACCATTCTATTAACATCTATTATCGAACAGTGATATTATACCTCTATGGAATTGCAGAAATGGTATTTTTAGAAAAAAAATCAGATATCTCTTTGCTGTTCTCACTGTTTATTATTGAAAAAACATACACAGAAATGAAACAGAGTGAAAAATACAAAAAGTGCAAATACATGAAGTATAGTATGTGGAAAATGTTATATGTGAGAAATTACCTGTCATGTGTCCTATATAGAAAGGTAATAAATAGAAAAATCAACATATGTATTTGAAACCATAAGGCATTTATACTTGGCCATAATCAGTTATATTTATGTGGAAAATGTTATATGTGAGAAATTACCTGTCATGTGTCCTATATAGAAAGGTAATAAATAGAAAAATCAACATATGTATTTGAAACCATAAGGCATTTATACTTGGCCATAATCAGTTATATTTCTCTATCAATATACTTAATTTACAACTGGATTACATTTTATAGTCAACCAAAAGAATAATAAAAGAAATATGATTATCTGTATTTTTCAAAAGATTATCATCTCAAACTCATCAACACATTTGAGGATAATAATAGTAGGTTTTGCTTGGATCTTAGAGTCTCACATAATACCTTACCCACTTGCATAAACCAGCTTTTATCTAATCGATGTACACAAATTGTTGAGTCTCACATAATACCTTACCCACTTGCATAAACTAGCTTTTATCCAATTGATGTACACAAATTGTTCAACTCTTCATAAACAGTCATACCTAAAATGTATGTTCCTTTCAGTTTCCACATTACTGTCTCCATATCTTTCATTTCTTTTCTCTCTCTCATTCTCATCTTTTCTCTTTCATTCTCATTCATTTCTCTCTTTCATTCTCAGTGATTTTCATTGGAAACCTGCTTGTTATGATTTTAATCACCTGCAGTCAGCTTATTAATAAGTCAGAGATGGTAATAGCTATTAAACCTTTGACAAATACATTTTTTATAAGTAGAATTTCAGGCATCATCGATAGGCTAAGGAAGAACTATTGAGAAACAAGCTGTTGACCATTCCACCATATCACACCATAAATTCTTTTTTTAAATTAAAGTATCATTGGTATGCAATATTATGAAGGTTTCACATGAGTGACATTGAGGTTTCAACATTCACCCATATTATCAAGTCCTCCCCACCCCGACCCCACTGAAGTCACTGTCTATCAGCATAGTAAGTTGCTATAGAGACATCACTTGTCTTCTCTGTGCTGAGTTAACATCAACCACTGCAAAGTGACAGTTTGGTATCCTTTCTACTGAAAAATTAAGAGGGGATATTCATAGCGGTCAAATAAGCCTTCTCATTCAATTAATGATTGCATTTTAGGATTTTAAAATTATTTGCAATGATTTAAAAGAATTCAGTGCTCTAGCATCCCCAAAATTAAATTCCTGTGATTTATTGTAAAGAACTGTAAGTTAAAATTTTAATTATAGTCTAGTCTTTACTTCATGCTTTAACTTGTTGCATGAACTGATAGTAACTAAGTTTTCTCAACCTCTTTTTCCTCACTGATAGTCTAAAATTCTGCTTGATCTCATCCACAGGGCTTTGTGAGAATCTCTATCAGGTAATAGATCAAATCACATTTGAAAAATACAGTGCAAATGTCATTTGTTAAGTGTGTTTTCAGTCCAAAAGTGGAAAATTAATGGTATAATTAGGAATTACCAGGAAAATAAAAAAAGACATTTTTTAATGAAGATTATTTTGTTTTACAAATACTTGGGTATTTCAGACAAAACACAAAATTCTTTAAAAAATAATAGGCACATAAATGTACCCAATCCAGTTTATTAGAAAGATGGAAAAAAAGTTGTGAAAAAGACTTATCATTTCATTTACTTTTTAAAACATAAAATCTACTGTTGTGTCTGACTCAAAAACTGCAATCTATGTGCCTGAATCACTTGAAAAGATGATTTCCTCTATTTTCAAGTATTTCTATAGAAAGCTAAGAAGGTATGGCTCCTGTATATCTACAAGAATAATTTCATATTTTTAAGACAGATAATAATATCACCTTATCAGTAGATACCTTCAGAATACGAGACTATTTATTTAAAAATAATCTCCTTCATAAAGCACCTCTTAACTCAATGATTTTTAATATGCTGCATCCCTTTTATGAGTTTTAGTTTAACCAAAAGTAAACTGTGGAAGTTAAACCAGGTCTTTAAAGACCTCTTTTGGACCTGACCTGTCCATGATTCTGACTTAAATTAAGAGGAGTGTTGGTGGCTGGTTAACTTTCTCCCAAACTGTGGGTAAAATCCCATATTTCCAGAATCTCTCACCTGGCCTTAGTCCATCTCCATAGCAATAGGTGATTACACAGGGAAGTGAGGGCATATCTGGACCAGAGAGGTTGTCTGAGGTTCCTTTTTTGCAGCCAGGTCACGAGAGACAAAGGCGGGTGGAAGTGGATGACTACTTGTAAACAATAAATGGGTTTCTCCCACTTTATTTCTCCTTTGACTGATTTTGGCCTCAAAGGTAATTTGCCCCGAACTGGGAACGTATTTTCCCCAGAGTTACACAAACATATTAGAATAAATTTACAACCTTAACTTCACGTTATTGTCCTTTATCTCCTTTAAGGTCAGCTGATCCAACTGCACAATCACAGCAAAGTGGCCTTCCTCCCAGGAAGAGGCAGACCCTCCAGGCTCTCTCTCCTCTTGTTTGGATCCTTCATAGCCTACTATTCTGAACTCCTTAAACATCTTCCCTTAATGCAATCCAGGTACAAGGACATCTCCAGAGTGTATAGTTTAAACCAAAGTATTCTTCCCTTGATTGCTAAAGACTGTGCTGCCGGAGAGCTGGACTTTTGCCATTCCCTGTCAGCCCTTATTCAATCCTATCATTGTCCATTCAACTCCTACTCTTTCCCGATAGAACAATTAGTAGAGCTCACCACACAATGCATACTAAAACTTTCTAAGTTTTTTGTGATTATAACTACTTGGTTTCATATGCTTATCTATTTTTGTCAGATTGTTAAATGCTTTAACGTCTCTCCAAGAAAATCTTGGTAAGTGTTAGGGCCAGTGCCTAACTATCCTAAAGAAGCCAGTGCCTACTGGGAAAAACTAAACAAAACTAAACAAAACAAACAAAGCAAAATTTTATGCATTTCAGATCTATGGTGAATCTTGGGTGTCTGGTTTTTGGACAAATTACATCACCTTTCTGAACCTCACTTTTTCATCTGTCAAGTAGGAAAATAAAACTCATCTCCTGTTGATTTAGGAAAAGACTAATTAATTACTCTTTACTATGTGTCAGGTATTGTGCTAGAAGGGCAAAAGCCTGAAATCATCTAAGCTTCACTGATATTCTTATTTTGTAAGAAAATTCTTATTTTTCTGGTTCTTCCATAATAAGACTATGGCTAGGTAAATAAATCATGAATAACTAGACAATACATTCATAATTTTTTATCAATTTGATGACATCTGGCCTCATCATGTATTAAAATATTAATTCCATTTATTTCCTCTTTATAGCCCCACATTATATTTTGATCATTTTAAGTAATCAGTATGTATTTGCCAAATAAATGCCTACATTCACTTTCAATTTTTGAAACAATGAAAAGCAAGTTCATTTTAATTATATATCATTACTGTTTTGTCATGTATTGGAGAGAGATAAAAATACAGAAGGTTTATAATCAAATTTACTTCAGAATGATAGAGAGGGAGAAATCACCATTCAGAGCGGTCCTCCTGATTTCTACCAGTGTCCTGTTTGTCAGCAAGCACCATTTGGTTCATAAATCCCATCCCTGTAACCTTCCTGATTTCTTCATCTATTGGATTATGGTGGAGACTACATCCTTAAGTAGTCTTACATGTTAAAACTCCGGTCATTTTCCCTAAAACCCTGGTGGTCTCCTCCCTAGGTGGTCCACAAAATGTACAGAAAAAAAACCCTGAATTTTATTCTCCACCCTTCCACCCATCTGTAGGAATATTCAGATAATCATCATTAATACCGTATTGTAACAGAATAGGTGATGTTTAAATAGAATAATAGAATAGGTGATGTTTGAATACAGAAATCAGAAACACATACTACAAATTGACCCATTAAGACAAGTAACAGGAAGTAGGAATGGAGTCATTTGACACACTCTGTATTTCTTGAGTTTTCCTTTCCAGATTTTCTATCCTTCACTGATACAAATCATTCACTTTCTGTTTTCTTCCCCTGAACTTTTCTCAAATCATGAAAAAATTATTTATTACTGCCATGTTTTGAATTATTTTATTTAATTGATACAGAAAGTACAAGTTATCATATATAGATGATATAAAAAATATACAACCATATGAGCCACTCTATACCTGTTCATTAGGTATATCGAGCTATAGTTTCAACAGTTTATTGTATATAAATCATGGCTAAAATTTTCCAGTAAGTATTAGTCAAGCACAAATAATCATTAAATCGATACTTTAATAATATATTCTAACACTATATTTCTTATTAATCTAAGAACAGTGGTTAATTGTGGGTTGGTAAAGTAAAATTTAATGTGACTAACTTACCAGATATTTGTCTTAAATCTAAGGTACATGCAATAATTCACAACTACCTTACTCAGAATCAATGAATAAATTCAATGACTACGTATTAATAAATCTCACACTGCAAACAATTCTGAAGACTCCTGAAGATAGAATTCAC